GACCTGGGGCCTATCCTACCTCTAGAATGGATTTTATTTTCTAAGTAACATGTTCCAGTTCAGTCAAAAGTCATGGCTGTCATGCAGGGATCTTGTCACGAAATTGTTTGGCCTTTTGCAAATATTAGACTAGATTATATAATAGTTGTTCTAGTTTCATAATCTATGAATCTGTACATATATACATCATTGTGCTTCTTGAGAAGGCAGTGAAAGCCGCTTTTCTTCTATTATATCTTCACTTTGTAATTGCATCTTGCATTTAATCATTACTGACTTAATACTAATGACAAGCAAAATATATTGGCTTGAAGATAAAGCCCAGAAAAAAGCAATTGTGAATAAGGCAATGTGAAATGCTTGCAAAGAGATATATTTTTAAAATTATTCTTATTAGGTTAGTTTGCCTTTAGTTTTAGTTTTCATTCTGAGTCAGCAGAACTGTGGGAGAACAGGCTGGAGTTTCTTTTGATACATGCGTTAATATTGGAACTGCTAGTGAAAAGTTTACCTGGAGGCACCCAGCAGTAGCATTAAATTACAACTTAACTGCTCATAAATTTACCTGTTTGGGTCAAGGTTACTAAAGGCAATACATGACACAACATGGTTTTCATTTTTCACAACGTTGACTGCCTGAACTTTTAAGAGAAGACCTTGGTAGTCCTTAACATAAGTTCTTCCACTTGCCAAGGGTCTTCATACTTCAGAACCTCAGCATGTATTTTTAGTTCTCTCTCAAGCGTTTTGATAGTATTTTTCTCTTAAATGTCTCTTAAATTGATGTCAGGTTTTTTTGCTCTGTAATTATTGTTTGCCAATATCAGGAGCAGGTTCCCAAAATAATCTTTCCTCATATGAGTAGATCTTACCCATGTGATTTATTCCAGTGAAATCAGTTATCTGTTTTAAATACTGCCTCTGAGATAAAAGGTGATTACAGCATCAGACCTCCCACAGAATTTGGCTACCAGCTTAATTGTTCTATAAGCACCGGCCCAGCCTGCTCTACCAAGTTTCGTAGCCGTACTGGTTCAAGATTTTCTTAGACCTTTGTTGATGGCAAAATCTTAGATGACGATACAACTATTACCTCTACGAAGAGAACAACATTTTTGTCTGTGTCGTGGGGAGGGAGATAGCGTAGCTGTGCCAACCAGGGGAAAAAAAAAAAAAAGGAAAAAAACCAAAAAGAAAATAGTAGCTCCTTCCATTAGCACAGGTTATATACAATCACCCTGCAGGCAGAGTTACAATGGCAGATGCACTGTGACATTGGTGGGTCTACATTTGCCCATTTAAAAAAATATTTCTGTCTTCCTTGCTGCTATGTAAAAAACCAAAACCAAAACCAAAAACCAACATACAGCAAACGATAACACAATTAATTATTTCCTATTACAGGCTGTAAACAAAAGAAAGGGTGTGGAGGTGCCGTGCTTTTGACCTGTTATTTCAGGGGTATGACTCCTGCTCCTCTACAGATCACCGACCACTTCCTTTTAATCCACTGGAAACATAGGCTATGAATGTTTGTCTGCTGACTAGCAGCTAACTTAAATGGCTACAGTAGCCTAAGAGACTACAAAGAGTGATAATTAAAAGGCAGCATCAAGATACACCTGAAAATAGCTGCGTCTCGCTGTCATGTAGGGTTTCTTCATAGAGTATCCCAGCCACAGAACCAGCTCGGGGCTGCCTACCACACTGCACTCCCATCTTTGGGCTGCTCTCTTCTTAAATGCAGTGGGGGGGTTACAAAGACGTTACTGGGTGCAAATGGAGCTGTGAGGTGCTTGCTGGGAAGCCCCCCTTTACCTACCTTCTTTTTCTTGATGTTTATTGAGCATCATTCGGTTATTCTGCAAATTTGTGAGAATGCAAGTAAGACGCTCTTTAAACTTGTCATAGTTTCTGACATGCAAGGGTTATTGGACATGATGTTTTTGCATTCGTTCATTTGTAGGAAGTGAATTTAGTTATGGTGGAACGCAGAGTCTTCATTCCCGGGAAATAAGACTTGCATTGCAAGAGTTTTTTAACAACTTGTGAAGGAAGTATTATTAACGAGTCCTAATATTACAATGCCTTCTGCATTTATGGCATGTAAGAGGCTTTCTCTAGATACCACATGTTAATAACACAGGAACAGTGTGGCATTTCACTGCTTAAATGAAAGTAGGGTCTCCCTGCTGACACCAGGTGTAAGGTGCTTACATCATCAAAGATAACTGCAAAGTGTGAGCACCGTGTAAATAGTTTTCTATTCCTAGCTATTAAAGCTCCAGAAACTGGAAGAGTTACCAGTTCAAGCACTATAAACTACCTTGCAGTTAACAGGGAAAGGCAACAAAAATAATCAAAGTTGTGGACCTACTTCCATACAAGGTACAAATAAATGAGGTAAAGCTCTTCAGCCTGGAAAGCGTGACTGAGGGGGTAAAAGAGAGAGACAGAGAATAGCTGAGTACAGGTGAATTTACTGAAGCTTCCAGGACAAGAATATCAAATAATGCAAGGAGGAGGCAGGTGCTGAACAAACAAAATGAGATAATTCATCACTGAACTCACACAGGCTACAGAGCACCCTGCAACAGCGTGATGCAGATCTCAGAAGCTTACCTTGGTCCGAAATAGGAGGCTAATCTGACTTGCTTGACTAATCACAAAATGTAAATGCCTAAAAAATAACGAAGGCACAGATGAAGGGAAAAATCTGGCCGAGAAAGACAGAAGTACATTTGCACAGTCTTTGTCTAATCATCTGTTTATTGGCAAAACTATAGTGAACTTCACAAAGTACTTTAGTGGATTAACCAAAATGAAAAAGCTGCTACATAAATTACTTGCTGTCTTCTCCCAATTCTAGTTATTACTGACAAGAAACTGGAAAGAATACAAATAATTATATTACTATAAAAGGAAGAAATTTGATAAATTATTTGGGTTTTTTTAATAATTTATTGAAATATTTTATCTTATGCTATAATATGCAAACCAAATCGTCTCATTTTACTCAAAAGGTGTTTTTGTTAAGCTCAGCAACATTTTTTCTAGGCCAGGCAAAATGAAATAAGGTTGGATAGTCATTGGGAAGCTGTTGCTGTGTTTTACTTGATCTGACAGCACATGGTATTTATGCATTTCTCTATGTGGCTTTGATAGAATATTGCTGATTTTCGTCTACTGTATTTAATGTATATTCATGTCCAGTGACTGACAGGTCACAGAGTAGCGGGAATATTGACAAGTCTGGTTCTAAGCCCTTGGTTGTAATGCAAGCTTTAATGATGAATATTTACAAAAGCCGGGCTGATGGGAAGCAGATAGAGGTGGTTCTCCATTGAGCAGAATCCAAAAGAAAAATCTTGGTGTTGCAAAGGTGTTTGCATGAATAAAAAGCACCACTGCCTTTGCCTAGGGAGAAAAAAATACCTTGCTGCAAACCAGGCCTATTTTCTTCAAATAATCTCCAAGCTAGGAGCCTCTAATCTCCAAGCCTCTGCCAAGCTAGGATCTGATTACCAGTTTGCAGGCCTCAGACCATAGCCATTATTGTTTTAACATTTCTGCCTTCCTCTTTATCCCAGCATGAACCAGGCTGTACGGGCTGCTGTGTAACTTGACCTTGCTTGGAGATAAAAAGACAGGTTAGCACACAGTGATCGCAAAGACAGAAGCAAAAAGACAGTGTTTAGAAAATAAAGGAAGGAGCTGGCACGCTGTGATTATGTGTAATGTTCTATGCTGTGCGGCGTGGGTGGCCTGAAGAACAGTGCCCATCCGCAAAACCCAGACAGAAACTTGGACTTGGTTGTAGTTTCTCCATTTTTAACCTTATTTGTGCAGAGAAGCTGTGATTTTCATCACTAGGATATTAATGTTACCTCAGGTGATTTCCTGCAACACTGAAGATGAAGGAAAAAAAGGAAAGAAAAATGGAAGGAGAGAAAAAAAAGAAATCACTTAAAATTTTTAGTGCTTTCGGTAAACAAAATGAATAGTAAAACAGCACAAAGAGTTGGATATGAATCTTTGAGCTCACTTTGCTTAAAAGTCTTTGCTGCTGTTCACTAATGTCCTCTGATCTTTCCATGCAACAAGCCACTGAGCCCAGTGGTCAGCAGCAATTAGGCATGACACGTCTTAAAGTGCCTCAGGGTGCTAAATAAAAAAAATGCTTGGTGATTAAGCATTTAGCATCCAAAAGCTGAAAAAAAAGTGTAAAGGGGAAGAGAGATTCTGCTCAACCATAGGTGCTCAGACTGATAAGACAGCTGTGCATTGCACAAATGGTCACTCAAAACCAAGCCAGGCCACAGCTTCAAGGCCACAAGGTCCCAGCTAAATCATGGTGGAGACAAAGTTAAGTGATATATTTCAGCTTGTCTCTACCACCACCTCATCTCTCAAAAACAAAGCAACCCAAAACTCAGCTCGTGGTAGTTTGCTGTTTCTATGATTTCATAAAGGTTTCATGCCAAGAGCAGTACAAGCGTGTTTTTTCATATCAGACCATATGGCAGATAATAAATATCTGAGGTTCTGTTCACTGATAACTTCCTACATAGGCATGGACAGCTAAATTTCTAAATCCCTGTTAGTTTTTCCAGCTGTCGTTTGCACATGGCAGAATACATTCTGCATCTTAGGCCTCTGGACTCACTGCGACCAAACCAAGGATTAATTTGTCAGGACATCGAATCTGGCTTCAACCCCGGCAAATGGAAAAGTTATGTACCTGCACCAACTTCAGAAATGCTTGAGCTTCTCAACGGAGACAAAGCATTAAGTTGCATGGTGTGTTTGGGAAGCTTTACTTTCCTCATCGTTTTACCTTGTGTGAATTGTGTATGCTCAGGGGTAACCAAAAATCAGAAATCCCCAGGGAACAAACCAGCATTAAGCCTGCTTACAGCATACTGCCACAGTTAAATCGTTCTTTAACTACTTGTTGGAAGAAACAAACTGACTGACTTTGTGGGTTTTTTCCCTTCCAGACTCTGACAGCACCCGCTCCATTTGCAGACGAAACAAGCTGTCAGTGCCAAGCCCCCCATGAGAAGTTAACCATTGCACAAGCCCGTCTGGGAACACCGGGTACGTGTAGAGAGCAACATCAGCAGCACCGTGGGTGCCCCCAAAGCACAGGTTCTCCCCTACAAGCACCTGTCCATGCTCACTTGTGCCTTCTGCTTGGAAGCAGAAAGGCCAGCCTGGTATGTGGTGCTGTCAGTTAATAGGGAAGGAACCAGTGGCTAGAGGGCCATTATCTTCTTCTAGAGAAAGAACAAGAGAAAATGTTTCAACTTAAGAGTTGGATGCTTCTGTGGATGTCTGCGTGTTGCTTGGAAGGAAGGCTTGCCAGCCTACAGTTGGGTTGTGTAGTGGCCACTTCCTGGATTCTCTTCTTGTACTGCCTCTGTATTCTGGGAAACCTTTTCTTTCACTCATGTTCTTACTGATCACGTCAGACCTTAAGTGGCCCTAAAGGCCATTTGCCCTTGGAAAGGAAACTGTGCCAAATTTTGGAACTCTTTATCTGGACAGTTTTTCCAGTCCTACCTTTCTGATTGGGCTAGGGAAACAGGATGATTTCATATGAAATCCCAAATACATACTTCAAACCCCCTAAATTCCATGAGATTCTTTACAAAAAAGCCTTCGTATACTTATTTTACATATTTAAAATAAGCTTTTAAAGTACGTACAGTTTATAGAGGTAATCCCCAGCCTTCCAGTCAGCTCTGCAAGGAACAATGTTGCCCCCATATTTCCATGGACTCCTGGATGTCCTGACAGCAGAGATCTCTCTGTAGCATCGAAGCACAGTCCATGGAGGTTGTGCTCTGTTGCTCTCATCTCTGCTGTCCTTTTGCTTGGAGGTGACTTCTCTGTGGCACAGCTGCCAGGCGTGTCATTTGGTAAAGCAAGTCCTTTTTCTGTCTGGAGGCTGCTGCTGAAGTTGTCATACAGAAAGCAAAAGTTATAAGGGTGATAGCAGGAGGATGATAAGTTATAAGGGTGATAGCAGGAGGAAAAGAAATTATAGGCTCATTGGAAGAGCTTGGGGGAAGGATGGGAAAAGGGACATGAAAGGTTTATGTGGAAGAGCTAAGGAATACATTTTTACAGTGGTGAGCTGTGGAAAAAAGGAACTCGCAGACCAGAGGGGAGGAAAAGGGAGATGATACGAAAAAATAAGGAATTTTTTTTTTAAAATCCAGAAGGCAGAACTGACTAGAAAGGCAGAGAGAAAAGAACAAGACATATGGTGGAACTCCGAATGAGGCAGGAAGATGACATTTTTGCTAAATTAGAATATGGGGATGATGGATGATAATAAATAGGGTAAGTGTGAGAGAAAACAGCAGAGAGTACAGAGAAGAACAAATAATGAGCAGGATAAAACACTGTGAGTTCACCCATGGTGCATTTTGAGCATCAGAACTGGGGTGGATCTCCACAATCATCTGATCTGGGAACAAAAATCTGTCCGGTAGAATTAAGTGCAACTTGTTTTGGGTCTGAAAAATCACTGTTGTGTTTCTTTCTCCACAGTTGACAGACCTGTCAGAGTGTATGCAGATGGGATATTTGACCTCTTCCACTCTGGCCATGCTAGAGCTCTTATGCAAGCCAAAACTCTCTTCCCAAATAGCTACTTATTAGTAGGAGGTAAGATCAGAGTTATTTATTGCACTGGATTTAGGCTTCTGTGCCTCAATACCAGAGCGTTATTGCCGTGCTCGCGCCCCCAGCTGTTTATACACTATGACTTTGAATGCTGCTTTCACTCCAGGGGCTTTCTATAGGTGATTTGCCTTGAATTACGTCTTACAATTGCATCAATTAAAGTAAAAGTCAAATTCTGCCCTCAGCAGCACAGGCACAATTCCCATTCTAGTTAAAGCGGGTGCCTGCATGACTCTGAGCTTAGAATAGCTCCATATGAATAATTTACCTTTTTCAGTTATTCGCTCAAAATTGTTCAGAGATGGAGATGAGTGAATGAGATCAACCGCTCATTTATTTCTGGCTGCTTGGTCCCTCCGTCAGCCAGGGGCAGCCCACGTTCCCTGGCTGCCAGGTCAGTACTGTGTGTACAGACCCAGCCTTCAACATCAGCAGGGAAGCTAAATCCAGCCCCTTATTGTTGGAGACCCAAATGTAGGTCATAATTTGAACGTAGTTTTCAGCTCGGAAGTGTCCCCAGGCTGGTTACTTTCTTATCGTATTTTTTTGCTGTGAATATCATCTTCTTTTGCTGTGTGGCTGACTGACAGCTGTGCAGCAGTTCGTACATGCTGAGGAGTGACCGGAGGGCGGCTGTGTCCTGCCCAGCTGGCCGTGCAAGCCCTGCTCTTGCGAGGCCTCGTAAACATGCATTTTAGTTCCAGTTTCCCTGCACCTCTGGGATTTATGCCTCACATACATATTTGATAGGACAAGGGGCAATGGCTTTAAATTGAAAGCAGGTAGATTAGGGTAGATTTAGATGAGATACGAAGAAGAAATTCTTCCTGGAGAGGGTGGTGAGGCACGGGAACAGGTTGCCCAGAGAAGCTGTGGATGCCCCATCCCTGGATGTGTTCAAGGCCCGGCTGGATGAAGCTTTGAGCAACCTGGTCTAGTGGAAGGTGTCCCTGCCCATGGCAGGGGGGTTGGAACTGGATGGTCCTTCAGGTCCCTTCCAACCCAAACCTCTCTGTGACTCCACAGTAACCTTCAGCTGCTCAAGCGCTTACATCAGTGATGATAAAGTGAATGTGAATGCAAACTTCAGACACTTTGTAAGATACGTTATTTTGTGTCTCTGTCCCAAATCAGTTAAAAGGTGTTTCCTCCAACACAAAGGAAAAGCAAAATCTTCTTATAAACACAATCTTCAGTTTTACACTTAAGTTCATTATCTGTGGCAATTCCCATGGACCTTTCTGGGTGGGAAAAGGAGACATCCCTTTGTTGTGAAGGAAACATTTAGAACTCTCTTGTTTTCCTTTGAGCCAGATAGCTTGCAGAAGCAGCAAATGCAAGTGCAAAACTGTGAGGTTTATTAAAAATGCCAGTTATGTAGGTTTTGCTGTCACTTTAAAAGGAGTAGGGGTTGTCCCAAACCAGGCAACGAGCTCTGGGGCAAAAGCCTGGCTCCTCTGGAATTTGTGACAGAGCTTCACTTTGCAGCCAGCACTCATCAGCACCTTTTCCCAGCAAGGCACCGCATCTTCAAATGCAAGTGCAAAACTGTGAGGTTTATTAAAAATGCCAGTTATGTAGGTTTTGCTGTCACTTTAAAAGGAGTAGGGGTTGTCCCAAACCAGGCAACGAGCTCTGGGGCAAAAGCCTGGCTCCTCTGGAATTTGTGACAGAGCTTCACTTTGCAGCCAGCACTCATCAGCACCTTTTCCCAGCAAGGCACCGCATCTTAGCGTGTTCAAAAAATGGGTACCTTTCCACACCCACACACAATTTGTGCTGCAAAAGCACTGGTGTTGTGTGTCTTTGTGGGCCCACAACCAACCCCTTTTATCTCTCATTGTGAAGACAATTATTTGGAGCTAAGATTTTTTTTTTTTTTTTAAGAAAACCAGGTATTTCTACCGTAGCAAATCAGTCATTAGAGCAGGATGACAAACTCAAAAGGAAATACAGAGATATTGTGTCTGCACTGTACATGGACAAACGGTACTCAAAAAATGAAACCAAACCTTTCTACAGAATTCAAGCAAAAATTACCATTTTCCAATAATTTGAGTAGATCCTTTCTTCCAGGAGAGGGTAGCTTTAAGATGACATAAAGGCTGTAAATAAATAAAAATACAATCCCAGAAGGGATCTTTCTACTGAAAATGTCTTGATCTCCATTAAATTTCTTGTCAGCAGGCATCAAAAATGACATAATAGGATAGAGTAGCATTTTGCTAGCTGAAATTCATATGTATATTATTATCTGGCTTTCAATTTTGCACAAACTCCGTGGCTATCTAAGCCTTCCTACATTTTTCCTCCTGTAAAGGTCCTTAACGACCATCACAGCAAGAACATCCATTTTAGATCTCAAAAAAGACTGCATCTTTGCCAGCGCCTTGCCTGATAGGTTGATGTTTTCAAATTGGAAAGAAGCAGCAGCCGTAGGGCTGCTCTCACACTCCCCTGCAGCACTAATAATGTTGCTTTTATCATTTGTCAAGTACATTTCCTGTTTGTCCCAGTGTCACAGGCAAGTGAGATCCAAAGGCACGGGTTTGACCTGTGGTGAAGGACAACCACTCCGTCCCAGCTATAAATGGGTTTCACATTATTCCATGTGGGGTGTCAAATGACTATCATAGCTGTAATATTGGACAGAGTTACAGTTGTGGGGACAGGCCACTGTGTTTTATGCAACATTATGTGGGTAGAAAGAGAATATCTAACTTCTATAGCCCTCTGGTAAGATGGGTGTTGCTTCCCCTCATTTTAAAAGCAATGTGGCAGAGTACTGGTACATCCAGAGATAAAGATGCAGGATTTCTGGACTTGCTCATTCCACTAGAGCATACAGTTTCTCCCAGTCCTTTCCACAGGGCTTCCTTCTGTGACTTCTCATCTGAACAGGGCACAAGCCTTACTTCTTTTCTAAGAAACCTGCTGAGATCAGAGTTAAACTCAGAGACAGATTCCTATAAAATCTGCCATGACTTTTTTCCATCAGCGTTTGTTTGGTGAGAAACTGTTGTACTGTGATTTAGACCATTGTCGGCAAATTCATCATTCAGTGTTGTTTACATAAGAACAAAATGTGGGAACAGGAGACCCAGAGAGGCTGAAAGGTCTCCATTTTTGGAAACTCAATTGGGCAGTTGGTTGCCCTGAGCAACCTGCTGTAGTTGACCCTGCTGTGAGGAGGGTGGTTGGATTACGTGATGTCCAGTGGTGCCTCCCTGCCTCAACCATTTTGTGTTACATGACGTTTGCGAGCACTCTGTCCTTGCTGAGACTGTACTTTTGGATTGTATTTAAAGCATTGTCCATCACCCCTGAAATTTCACAGCTCATGAAATCCCCATTTAGAGTGGGATTGAGTTACCCCGACACGTGCATGTACTACCGCTTGAGATATCCTACAGTATCTCACTTGGGCTTTGGCTGCAGCTCCAGAAAGGGAAGGATCTCTCAGAAGTCTATGGTTGTACCTGCCAGCCCTGAGCAGAACTCTTAGATGCCCTGGAGTACCCCAAAATTAGCTAAGCTGATTAGCTAGCTAATTAACGAAGTGTTTAAAGGAATTACCAGGAAATAGTCAACTGCTGGTCATGCTAATTCTGCTGAGTGTGGATCCATTTTGTTGATACTTCCATATTTTAGTTTGCAGTGATGATTTAACTCATAAATTCAAAGGCTTCACTGTGATGAATGAAACTGAGCGATATGAAGCCCTCAGACACTGTCGTTATGTGGATGAGGTCATCAGAGATGCACCCTGGACACTGACACCTGAGTTCCTTGAAAAACATAAGGTACCTTTCTCCCCTTATCTCTCCCTTGCCCTCTGTAGACTGGCAGCCGAGAGTAAACAGCAAGTCTGTGAAATCCTATTAGCTGGAGCAAATATTAATGCAGTTAATTCCAGTCACTGAAATCAGGAACAGGGCATTGCTTGCCTTCATCTTTGTCAGAAAATGTTGTATTTTTTCCTCAATATGCTGAGATGATTTCTGTAGTGGGATTTTTGAATGGCAAAATAACACTGAAGAATTATTCATAAATTGACTTCCGGGAAAGGAGATTGTGAACCAGGAAAGTTATCACATAGTGCTTAAAGTCCTGTTAAAGTCCTGAACTGAAGGCACATTTCTTATTAATGTCAACAGGTGCAACAATTACCCAGCAACAGTAAAAATGTCATGCGTCCTCTAAAAGGCAGGATAGAATTTCTTGTGTGCTACTGACTGTTTTGTGCTGATTATAAATCTTAACAGAAGCATAATTAACTAAGATATATTTTAATGTCCACGTCACTGGGTGATGAAAGGACAGCATGACAGTACGAGGTATACTGGTATATATGCCCAGCCCTAAGGAGGCAGAACCAATAATCCTTCCTCCGTGGTTTTGAAAGCCAAGGCTCAGTCACTTGACTTAGCTCTTCCAGTAGCAATAAAAGCGGGAGCGGGTTATCTTAGGTTTTCTACAGCATATCAGCCAGAGCAATGGTGTTAATGGCAGTGCTTCTGGAGACAAGCTTTCTGTTCCATCATCACTGACCTTGTAGGCCTAAAGCTGGTGCAATATTCTGAGTGATGGCTTTAGGATGAGAATGTCAAAAGCAAGTCAGCTCAAGTCAAGAAAAGAGGTGATGCTGTACAACAACACCCCACTGAACCACAATTCAGTGGTGGTGGTTTGTGATTCTTCTTCTGTTTACTGGCAGATTGACTTTGTAGCCCACGATGACATCCCGTACTCCTCCGCTGGCTCGGATGACGTATACAAACACATAAAGGAGGCAGGTAAGGGCAACTTAACATTTTTAGCAACTTGCATTTCAGCCTCAGCTCAAATTCTTTTACTGCCTTTTGACCACAGCTGCTGGTAGAGAAGCAGAGATAATATCACATTCTCCTACACCGAAACAGTAGGTCCTGCTGACGTCAGCAGAAAGATTCACTTTGTACAACCGCAGAGGATGTCCTTGGCTGAATTCCTGCCATAACCCCCAGGAAATCATTCAGATCTGTCATGAAAGAGTCTCGTCTGGGTTTCTAAATCTAACAGTTTTAGGGGGCACGACTAAGAGCTTTGAAAGCATGAAAATTAGTTCAGTTCCCACAGCAGCCCAGCCAAGGTCAGTGGTTTGCTGATAACTGCAAACCAAACTCCTTGACACAGCCCAGTCCTGAATATGGGCAAGCACAGGCAGCCTTCAGGAGTCATTAGGATCCACTTCTGATTTACGCTTTTCTCTACGCCGGCAGAGGGTTTAAATCAGCACCAGAGTAATTCACTCGCCATGACTATTTAGCAGTTTGGTTGACTACCGTATTGCATTGAACGTGAACATACCAGACTCATCAGGAGTTTGTCTCTTTTCAGTTCAAAGAAGCTGAATTCAATCCAAAGGGATAACGTTAAGCCACTGTTTGCCAGCAGCAGATATCCTAACACAGTGAACCGTGCGGGAGGAGGAACTGATCGTACCTTCCTTCTCCTGCTCCCTGGAGGTGATGCTTTGCACACCAGTGAATCCATCCTCTTCCTGGTCTACATAAACGTATATTGGAGGCTTAAAATTCCGGAGCAAATCTGCCTGATGGTAATCTGTCATGCAAAGTGACCTTCTCAAGCTATACCACGGCAGCAGTAGACCAGGTATTGACCCGAGCTGGAAGAAGCAGCTTTTTATAGCAGCAGTTCTTGATTGTTTTCCACTTGCAAGCCTCACTCTGGTGTCAGAGTCACACCCCTCCGCTGGGAACGGCTGTTCTACAGTTTCAGAGCCAACACCAGCTTCCTTCAGGAGGCAGTGGAACAAAGGTACCTCTGGTGAGGACAGGTCACCGAGGGACAAACAGCATACGTGCTGGACAGGCAGCTATTCTGCTCTTCTTCTGTAAGGTGCCGAGTGCACAGGACAACATGACAGGAGCCCTTGGTGTCACTGCATCGTTCCCAGACTGAGCTGGAGAGTGCCCAAACCTGGCACATCCTTCTCTGCGGTTGTTGGGCACCGGTGCAGTGCGCGCGCGTCCTGACGAGAAATTCAAACTTTGCCGAGCAGTTTGGGCTTACAGCTTCAGGGACTTGCGGCCTGGCCCGTGTCCATTGCTGCAAGATGATGGACAAGTAACTTCAGCCTTATATGGCTGAATTTTTTTATGGATAAACTGGGAATAACGCTACCTTATCTGTGAAGAGATGTGAGATCTGGTGCCCTAACGCTCCAGAACAGCATTATTAGGATAATGAATTGCCCCCTTCTCCCAGGGGCTTTGTTTTAGACCGGTGCTGTGGATGTATTTTTGCATTTTCCTTACTTGCAGTACTCCCATTTTCCCCCATCAAGTTACTGGGGAGCAGAGAAGCACACGGGAAGTGTGGAGCTCCTCGTGTAGATGCCCACGGACTCCCATTTCTCCACTTCTTTCAGTAGGTGGGAGGATGTACAGATGATGGTGAGCCGGGTAACGGTGCACTGACTAAACCTCTGCATGTCTGTGAACAATGAGTTGAGAAAATGTGAACCAGTCCAACACAGGAAGCGTATGAAAGCAGAAGCAGTGACTGAAGTTAATGTTCTCATACGTGCATTTGTGTATCGACTTGAGAACAATTCTGCTTTTGGCTTAGCAGGGGTAAGGTTTGGATTTTGTTCGTGTATTCTTGCAGCTCCTATCTGTAAAGGCTTCTGGCTCAAAGTGGGTTTCACTGCTTCCAAAAATAGTTCCCTGAGTGACTGCTGCAAGCCCGAAACACGACCAGGGAAACCTCCCTGCTCGCGATTAAAATAATCTCATTTTTAGCAGAGTATTAATTGGAGATCAGAAGGAAAAAATATCACATAGCATTTAGTTACAAGAGCCTGCTAAGCTGCTTGATTCCTTCTCCAGATCTTTTTCTAACCCTGTGAAATTAGCTAGCAGTGCCTGCCTACTCCAGCGAACGTGTGAGGATTAGTTTGCCAGTAGCTATAGCACCCTTTTAAGACCAAGCACTACTTTTTTTGCAAAACCATTTCCAGGCTTATCTTGCAGCTCTCTCAGCAGCTTGATGCTGCAATTACGAATGAGTGATAGCAGTAAATTTTTGTAGCCCTAAATAATTACTAAACCAAGGTGTGCTAGCACCCTGCTATTGTTGCCTTTGTGGCTTACATTAACAGTTCAAGTGGTCCTGGCCTGATGAGGAGCAATTAAAAGCAATATGTACCTCAGCTGTGAGGAGGAAAATACAAACAGTATTTATAAATGGCCAGTTTTTTTAGGGGCAGATCTGCCAGAGCAAGGAGCGTGGTTATGACACTGACACGGCCAAGTGGATGTGAAACGGGGGCTACAGAGACCGATACCCTCAGTCCCTACAGCGTATCTGTATTTGTTCACACTACCATTACACTTCGCCTTCCTGTTAGAAGCTGCTGGCACCTCCAAGGTGTTTTCCAGCTGTTGTAATGCATCTTTCACTCGACGGCCTGGCTTTGGCCAGGGCCAGAGGCTGGTCTGTTTTACTCTGCAGATGGTGCAGCACAGGACCAGAGGGGAGAGTGGAAATACACAGCAGAGCAGCGAACAGCCTTTCAATAGTAGAGCGGAAGGAGAGGAATAGGAAAAACAAATGGTACGGCAGCCTCGTGCCTTCCCTCAGCTCACACAGGAACAACAGGAAAGAACTGGTAATGATTTAGGCAGGATGACAAATCTTATTACGCCTTTGGTCCAGCATTCTTGTGTTCATCCTCAGCTACCTCCCGGAGTGCCTGGTCCTGCCGTGCTTTCTCAGCGGGCTTTCTTTTCCCACTTTGCTCAGGAATGTTTGTACCAACGCAGAGAACCGAAGGCATCTCCACATCGGATATCATCACAAGGATCGTCCGGGACTACGACGTGTATGCCCGGCGCAACCTCCAACGAGGCTACACCGCCAAAGAGCTGAATGTCAGCTTTATAAATGTAAGTACACCCATCTGCACGTGCCTCTGAAACGCTCTCTCCTCAGACCCTGAATGCAGAGTAAAGGTTAAGAGGTAAAAGTTCCTCCTGCTGCTTTTAAAATAGCTGGGAAGAGCTTAATTTAAAAGAACCTGGGAAGCTGAGGCTAGTTTTAATTGCTTCTATTAATTAGCAGCTTCATTTCCATCTTATGCTTTCACATTTGTAATAAAACTGCTGCTTCCTCTTCCTCGAGCTGTAGGGATTAATGACACGATTGCTTTCTTCATTCCCATTGTCAGAAGGCAGCCCAGAGGGCAAAGATTTTGGTATCCAAACTTTCTACAGCACAATAGGATAAAATCAACATCCAAAACCCCAAATGCTGAGCGGTGAGGTTACTAGGGGCAGTTAAAATGGTTTTTAAAAGACAAGGAAGCGTGTTGGGAAGCTGGTATGTACATGATGCTGAAGGCATTGGAAGCCACAAGAGGCAGGACAAGAGTGCCATTGGAAAGGATGGTTTAAATTAATCAGCTCCCACATGCCAGACTGTACCTTACCCTCCCACGAGGAGTAAACACTTTAGGACTTTTTACAAGGGCCTGTAGTGACAGGACAAGGGGTAACGGGTTTAAATTGAAAGTGGGGAGGTTTAGATTAGATATCAGGAAGAAGTACTTCCTAGATGGGGTGATGAAGCACTGGAACAGGTTGCCCAGAGAAGCTGGGCATGCCCCATCCCTGGAAGTGTTCAAGGCCAGGCTGGACGAGGCTTTGAGCAACCTGGTCTAGTGGAAGGTGTCCCTGCCCATGGCAGGGGGGTTGGAACTGGATGATCTTTAAGGTCCCTTCCAACCCAAACCATTCTGTGATTCCATGATTCTATGAAACACGTAACAGAAATGAAAGTTTACTTTCCTTCATTTTTTGTTTCAAGTCTTAAGGCCTTGAGATAACCCATATAACGGAAATCTTCCTTGTGACTGAGCTGGCTCACAGCAGGACTTCCCACCTGCTTCCCTGGAGCTGGGAAACCCCCTCCTGAAGGACCGAATTGTGTCATTTCATTGAGGGTTTTGTTTACTTTCTCCTTATTTTGAAGCCTGGCAGATAAATCACAGGGCAGACAGATTTATTTCACTGCGCTTTTTTTTTGGGGGTCTAAAAAAATCCTACTTGTAAGTACTCCACACAGAAGGATCACTATTGCAAATTTCTGTTAAATCAAGGCCCGGGGAGGGGTTCAAATTTATCCTTTAGTGGCTCTGAGGTTAAGATACTGCTGCATAAGGTATGCTTCCCCCAGTCCCAGACACTGATGTATCCTGAAGTCTCTGCTGGTGTTTGGTTACTTAGCTTACAGTAATTGACATGCAGAAATACTAACTTGCCCCAGAGGCTGTGTTTAACAAAAATACCCAAACAAACGCATAACCAAAGAAAAAAAACCCAAACAAAAAAAAACCCCAAAACACCCCAAAATGCCCCAGACCTCCAGCCTCCAGAAAAGTGCTGGTTTCCTCATTACAGTAAGGCTTGATGACTGATTAGGTGCAAAGTGAGTTCGGTTTGTGTGGATCTTGAGTATTTTGTTTGGCCTTGTAGCCTGTGAAGACGGTTCTTCTAGCGATTCATGGGCTCGAACAAAACCCACCTCAGCACTAAAAACTATTTGTTTCAACAGCAAATTCAAGTGCCCATTAAATGAAGTTCACAGGAAATTAAAAGCCAACAGGGAGCCGTGCCTCTGCGGAGACCGTGACACCTTCAAGGGCACAGCGTTAGTTTTGCCATGTGTCCTGCACATTTGAGGAGCACGGGAGCATTTCAGGACAAAAGCCCTTTAACCCTGAAGTATTTTAGAAGCTTGGCCCAACATCAGCCCCCTAACATGATCTTCCCTGTCCCTATCCTTTCTGTGTGACTTAGCAGAAAAGAGAGTAAACTCCTAATTATCAAGTCTGCTGGCCACAAGCCGCTGGCCTACGCACGTCTTGCTGTTGCAGCCAGAAGCTCCTGTATTAGCCAGGCTTGGAATCAAAGAGAGTTTTCCTTCTGCTCTGCAGAAATCCAACCCAAGAGACATTTTGGTCCAAGTTACCATCCAGGCTGGCCAGTCAGCAGTGGGCTGCGTTTGCTGGGAAACCCAAGGTGATTTGCATTTTGCTGAAGTTTGAGCTGCTGATTTCTTACTTGCACCCTTCACACAATCCGTATCGTTTTCCAAGCACACTCAGTTTGGAAATACGGAGAGATTTGTGCAGTGGATTAAACACAGTAATCACACAAGATGGTCTTTCCAGTGTGCACCTTCTGCATTTCATGCCAAAAATGTTAAATTTGCATCTATAAAAATAACGTGGGCATAGTTAACCAAGGCCATATGTATTGGGGTACATTAGTGCAGTTTTTCCCTTCTTCTCAACTGTCAGTGGCTAATCATTTCCAAGTACCTCTATATTAATCTCTGTCCACACTTTTAAAACAGGAGAAGAAATACCGCTTTCAAAACCAAGTGGACAAAATGAAAGAAAAAGTCAAGAATGTGGAGGAAAAGTCAAAGGAATTTGTTTACAAGGTGGAAGAGAAAAGCCATGACCTCATTCAGAAATGGGAGGAAAAGTCAAGGGAATTCATTGGCAACTTTTTAGAGCTGTTTGGACCCGATGGAGCCTGGGTAGGTATTCTGCCATCCCAGGAAGTCTGAGTGTTTTGTATTTATCTTCTGTCATGCAGATCAAGAGCAGATTCTTTTGCTGCAGTCTTTGTTTTGAAAGCCAGAACAGTAGGGTAAGGCCAAACCTGCTCCCTGAATCCAATAACGCGTGCCAGTACTGCAGCGGGAGGATTTGTCGCTTCTGGCTGTTGCTTCCTGGGGGTAATTTCTGTCTTCGGTGAAGGTGCGGTGCTGAATGCGACACTGCACTCAACAGGGCTGCATCACGGCAAGGCATAAGCACGCGGCCTAATACAGCCTGTCCTCCCCGCTCTGCCTAAACGAGACTAGACAGACATCCGGGGGGATTACGCATGGCAGGTGCCGAGGGAAACGGGCACCAAGAAGTTTTTCAGCAGTTCTCTTCATGCTCTGTACTCAGTAGTAGATGACAACAATTTTCTAACCTTAAAAACTACTGATTTGAAGTCCCCAGAGGTGATTTTGCATGTCAGGTGGCCACGCAGGTTACTGACCTAGGAATCTAGCTCAGGCAGGACGGAAACCCTTTGGAAGCCTTCCTCTGTGGGTGCTGGCTCCACAGACCCCATTTGCCAAAGGTACCCAGGGGCCTTGGAAGGGCAGTTGGGAGTCTAACAGCATCCTTCTGGGGAGAAAGCCCAGGGCTGTGCCTGCTTAAACCAAAGTCATGCACTGCACGAGGTGTGAGTTGGTGATGGGGGATGGTCCTGTGGTCACGGGTGCTGAATAAATAAAACTAATGCTAACAGAGCACGTGAAGCCCACAGGAGATGAGTTTGGCTGTGCGGAGAGAGAAAAAGAATTTCCAAGCCTTGATCCAATTCCCCAGGCTCTAGCCACTCAACACTGCACACTGATGGCGTTTTTAAAAATCCTTTGCTAATCAAACATTTTACCAAATTCGATTAGAGAAGAGCTGCTCTGCAAAGGTCTCTGAAGGGGGTGAAGGTGGCCTCCTGTTTCCCGAGTTCATGTCCCCACGACAGAGCAGGAAATCTGGTGCAACCACAGAGACCTTTGCTAAGAACGAGAGCAAAATCCCCGTGCAGCGTTGCAGGAAAAGCGTCGGTGACAGCAAGCTGAGAGGTGGTGTGGCTTTTTAAAAATCAGTTTGAGCCTTGCAACAGGAAAGACTTTTAAAATAATGATAACTCGCTATTAGTGTCAAAACCGTTATTAATGTTAATTTGCCTTATCACTGTTAGTTAGATGTTGCTTTTAATGTTGACATTAAAAGTATGGGAATCGTTACGGGCGTGCTAGATTCCTAGATCAGTAATTTGCATGTCATTAATATGCTATTATTATTTCACAAATAATTATTATAATACGCTTTATGCTAGCATCAGTTTTCCAAAAGTAAGGGCCACGTAACCTACCAGCAAGATCCATCTCCGAGAAAGGTCAGCGTGTCAGGTTTGAAACGCCAAGGCCATCGCCAGTTCTGCCCACCTGTGCTATCCCCTGCCTGCGTTTTTTTCCGCGAGGGTGTCACTGAGGGGTCAGAAACACCGACTGAAGCAGCACGAAACCTCTGTCCTGGCTGGAGAGGGGACCACCGCACGGCCCGGCACGGAGGCCTAATGGCAGAGAGGCCGCTCCACGGAAGTGGAAAGCAGCGGGGGTTCCCTCCACCTTTGCTCAGACACGTACGAGCGGGCAGCTGCTCCGCGGGTCAGCAGAGAGAAAGCAAGGCTGGCAGGGCAGGGCTTCCACGCCGATCTCCCTCTTGGAGCAGGCCGTGTGTCCCTCCAAAGGGCCCGTTTCTCTCTACTCTGTGCACAGAGGGCATCGGGGATGGCCATGCCAGGAAGTGGCTGCATCACATCAGTCTGTGGGGCTCAGGGGAACCTTATGGGTTGCAACTGGAACCCAGAGCCGGCGTTTAGGCAACGCCATGTGTCCACAGCCTGGACTCGAGCATGGCTGGAAGAGCCAGCTGCTCCAAAGCAGCAGTCCTCCGTAACGCCCAACGGGCAGGCGCGTTGTAAAGCAAAGGGATATCCACACGTAGGCAGGAAAATTCAGAAACAGGCAAAATAGTTTTGCAAGTTCGCCAAAAGCAAAGCTTTTTCTCCCTAAACCAGTTGGGTGTACCTGACCCAAGGCTTGGAAATGATTTTCCCACCCCTGGTCAAGGTCCAGGGTGCACCCAGCCTTGTCTAAGGGAGCCATCGACACTCCTCCCGCTTCCTTCAGCGCAGAGCGTCCCCCGGCCAGGCAGACCTTGCCTGTGAGGGGTACGACTTACTGACCCTGCTGGGGCACAGCTGGAGGGGAAGGTCCTGCTGGAGGCGAGGGAATTACACCACC